ACCTGTACCGCACCCAAGGCCCTAAACCAACAAGCTCTAGACCCCAAACCCCAAGCCTTAAATCCCTAAACTCCTAAACCCCTAAACCCCAAACCTTAAACCCCTAAACCCTAAACCCCAAACCTTAAACCCCTAAGCCCTAAACCCTAAACCCCAGAATCCAGGCCTCCAGCAGCGGAGGCCGAGCCGGACCTCTCGGCTACGCTGGAGGCCTCTAGGTTGCTTGTTTCGGGTAATTAGGGGGTTCAGGGTTTAGGGTTTAGGGGTTTAGGGGTTTAGGGTTTAGGGTTTAGGGGGGGGTTTAGGGGTTTAGGGGTTTAGGGGTTTAGGGGTTTAGGGGTTTAGGGCTTAGGGGTTTAGGGGTTTACCTGGGACTCTACTTACCTACAGTTTTATGGGTTCTACCTGCTAATTAAGGGGCAATGGCTGTAGGGCCCCAAGATATCGGTTTTGGGGTTTAGGGCTTCGGGGATGGGCGTTATACCGGCGTTTAATCAGGTGTTATTAGGGTTCTGCAGGGCTTTTTGACGTGTTGCTATATAGGGTTTTATCCGATCTGAAACCAGGGCCTGAATTGCAAGAATAGCGTTTCGGTGGTGTGGTCTAATACAACTACGTACAGCGGCCATAAGGAGATGCTAAGACGTTTTGTTCAGACGGGGTCGGAACCCTGCTTCGGGTTCTGGGCTTGGCATCTGGAGACCCAGCTAATGTAGAGGCCTTAATAATTAGAATAGGGTTTTGGCGTCCCTTATGGTATATTTATAGTAAGGAACCTTTAGACCCCTAAATTAGACTGTGAGGCTTGGCAATTTGGGTTCAGGGTCAGGTTTAGGGCTTCGGGTTTGGGTTTAGGGCCTAGGGTTCAGTGTTCAACCCTAAACCCTAAACCTGGGGGTTCACTTGGAGGGTCGGGGGACTTAGTAACTAGTTTATTTTATAGACTTTCAAGTACCATAACACCACTTAGGATCCCTTGTAGGGTACTTATAACGTCTACTTAATATCTACTTACTAAGTCCCCCGACACCAAGGTTTGGAAGATGTTCGGGAACAACACTCGGTCTCTTGAGGGGTACTGTTACAAACTCAACCATGTGATCTTTTAGGGTTTAGGGCGTAGGGCCTTGATACTCCAACTGTGATCATAACCGCAGAACCCACAGAATCCCTGAGAAGAATCCCCGCAAAAATGGGTCTCCGGGTTTGGAGGTACACCCTCGAGCCATGAACCACTGCCCTGAGTCCAGCCACTTCAACAGAACTTCCTGAACCCTAAACCCTAAAACCTCCAAAACCCGAATCTCTACCCCCCAAACCGAAACAAACCCAAACTTAATACAGGAGCCCTGAAAGTTAGTATAGCATGCTTTCTGAAGGGGGCGGGACACTGTGAACGGAAACAGTAACCCTAAGGCCCCAACGGATACTTGTGCTTCTTGATTAGATTAAATTAGGGCCCCAAAAAAGCACATGAGCAAACATTAGGATAGGGATATCCCATGCCATATAAAAGACCCTTATACTCAAGCCCAGTAAGGTACGGATACCCCTACAAAAGGCTTATGCTTATGTCCTTTTGGGTTCCTAATTAAATCCTAAACACCCATTAAACCCTAAACCCTAAACCCTAAACACGCATGAGACCTCTGTCGTCTCCTCGCTTTGATCCGCCCAGCTCTCACGGAAAGCCTGCTGAGGTTTCAGGCTTTAGGGTTTGTCGGGTTTCGGGTTTAGGGTTTGGGGTTTAGGGGTTTTGGGGGGTTTAAGGTTTTTAGGGTTTTTAGGGTTTAGGGTTTAGGGTTCAGGGTTCACGGATCCCATTTGTTCTTTTTTGATATGGAGCACTACTTATCGTTGAGGGCGCAGCCTTTTCTTGAACAGAGCTTTACCAGTCACCCTCTAACATGCCTTGAACAGTGCGCTGGACCTCGCTCCTCGATGCCCGAAGCATGGTAAGGCCTGCGCAACATTCTTCATGTAGGAGTCCATCTGGAAGTCGGGGATGGCCTTTGCAGAACGAGAAGAACCCCTCATGCCGAAACACCACTCAAGCGTAGATCCCACAACCTAAAACTTCAATGCAAATCGCAGGACTCAGAACCCGAAACCTTTCTAGGACCCTAAACCCCAAACCCTAAACTCTAAGCGCCTGAACTTGGTTTTCGATGCTGATTGCGGGCCTGAGATACCAACAATGCAAACGTTTGCAGCTGCAGTCGATGCCATTGTAGGCAATTAGAAGCAAAGCACACTCAAGCGGGAGTAATGATTTGCTTAAGACCGTACCTTAAGTTTCGGGTCTGGGCTTTATTAGGGTGTAAGAGCAAGGTTTACAGCGGTTTAGGGTTTAGGGCTTATTTTAGGGTTTGCATTTACAGGTTCCAGGTTTGGAGTTTGGTGTTCAGGATTTAGATGGATTTAGGGTTTGGGGTGGACTCAAAGATTACAGCCAGCAGAACACCCCTACAGTGACGTCGACGGGAGTGCCATGGGCTGAGTATGATTAATGACTAGTGCTGGGTGTCCCCTGACCACACTTGCATACACGGGCATGAGGATAGACAGCTCGCCACAGAAACTTCATCGAATCAAGCATCACGAAACCACAGACACTCACGCATGTCGCCCTAAACGCCCGACCGCTGACATATTGAACTTAGAACCCTCACGACCAGCACTCACTCCACTTGTATCAGATTCACGCAGTGTAGGCTGTAGGGCTTGTTTTTTTTCGGGCTTCTTGACACTCACATCTTGAATCTCCCCACCCCAAACCCCATAAACCCTCAACCCTAAACCCTGAGCCCCAAACCCTAAACCTTAAACCCTAAACCTGAAACCCTAAACCCTAAACCCTAGACCGTAACCCCCTCGCACCTGGGGCTGCGGTGAGGGGGTCTGGAGACGCACTGCTGCGTGCGCCTCCAGCGACCTCCCGCGCGCATGCACCCCCAAAGCCTCTTCCTGGCACGTCTGAGAGGGTTTCGGACACTATAAACCCAAGGGTTTAGGGTTTAGGGTTTAGGGTTTAGGGTTTACGGTTTAGGGTTTAGGGTTTAGGGTTTACGGTTTACCTAAACTCCGAACCCTACAACCCCAAATCATAACACCCCCGACCCTGAAACCCCAAATCACTGAAACACCAAACCCTAAACACAGAAACCTCAAACCCTAAACCATCAAGAACCTAAACTCCAAATCCAAAACTCCACACCCTAAAAGCCTAAACTCTGACCCTAAACCCTAAACCCTAAACCCTAAACCCTAAACCCTAAACCCTGTTACGGCTTGGGGCTTGATGCGGGGTGCTCTGGACGCTTGGGGATGAGAAGTCGGAGTGGAGAGTGGGGGCTTTACGCTTTAATATCGGAGCCTTACAAAAAAAAACTTAGGGTTTAGGGTTTAGGGTTTAGGGTTTAGGGTTTAGGATGTAGGGGCCTTAAAAATTAGAATAGGGTTTTTGGGGCCCATTGTATCATAATTATAGTAAGGAACCCCCAAAATAACATAGGTAATCATTTAGGCCCCTATATTAGGGTTTGGGATTGGGGCTTGGTTTACGGTTTAGGGTTTGGCGCAGGCTTTAGGGATTGGGGTTTGGATTTGGAGGTTTTTGGGGTGTCCGGGCGTTTACATATGGCAATTTACTCTTGTGGTGGAACACTCTAAACTCCAAGCCCACAGCCCTAATCTTTAAACCCCACGCCCTAAACCCCAAGCCCAGAAACCCTGAACCCAGAAACCCTAAACTCAACAACCCTAAACCCTAAACTCGTAAACCCCAAGCCCTAAACTCTACGAAATGGCTTCGGTATGAGGGGTGCAGGGCTGAGAGAGAGATTACTCTAAAAGGTATTTTGAAAGTGATGACGAGGCTGGTGGTGATGAGGATTCATTGTTGAAATCTCACCCAAGAGATTCAAAACTTTACGAGAATCCAACAGCCTAATCCTGATCGGTTTAGGGTCTGGGGGGTATAAGGTTTAGGGCTTAAGAGGTTTAGGGTTTAGGGTTTGCAGTTCGATCCGGGAGCCAGGCTGCTGACCCGAAGCACTTAAGCAGAAAGCCACCACCTAAAACCTAAACCCTAAAACCTAAACCCTAAACCCCAAACCAAAGCACCCAAAACCCCCAAAACCCAGAACCCTATGTAAACACTAAACCCTAAAACCCTATCCTTTTTTGTCTGCTCGTTCGGCCTCATCTGTCTCCTCGCTTTGATCGGCCCAGCTTGCACGGAAGGCCTGCCGGTAGCCACATGGGTAGTTGTCAAAATTATGGTCCCTTTTGGGGTACCCTAAATAATAGGTGCCGTATTATAATAAGGACCCAAAAAGGGACCATAATTTTGACAACCACCCACATGTTGATTGCGAGTGGCCTATCGGGCTCAGGATTCAGTGTAACGGAATAGGGTTTTGGGGCAGATTATACTATAATTACGATAAGGAACCCCAACATAGTACAGGTAATTATTCAGGCCCCTATATTAGGCTTCAGTATGATGTAGACCCTTCGCCCTTCACGAGAACTGTCATTGGGATCCCAGTAACAAGAGGTCTATCAATCAGGGTTTTTGTTATAAGGATCTGCTGTGTTCCGAGCTTCAGGGTGCCTGGAACCGTTCCCTGTACAGGGATCGCGGCGTGCAGGGCTCATGGATTAGGACACGGTCTAGCGTGTGCGGCTTGGTGATTCGTGGGCTGAGATGAGGATTTGAGGGTCTTGGGTCTGCGAGGGGTCCAGGATAATGACAGCGTCTTCGGACGCCACATTGTTGTGGTCGTCGTCGTGGCGGTCGTGGTCGTCGACGTCGATAAAGCCGTAGCAGTAACCGTAGAAGCACCAGTGCTAGTAGTAGTAGTAGTCGTCGTCGTCGTCGTCGCCGTCGTCGTCGTCATCGTCGTCGTCGCAGCAGTCGTAATAGTCGTCGTCGTAACACTAGTAGATGGTCATACTAGTCGTTGTGGTAGTGGTGTTGGTAGTAGTAGATGTTGTTGTTGTTGTTGTTGTTGTTGTTGTTGCTGCTGCTGCTGCTGCTGCTGCTGCTGCTGCTGCTGTGGTTGTAGTTGTGGCTGTGGTTGTGGTTGTGGTTGCCGTTGTGGCTGTGTCTGGGGCAGTGGTTGTGGTTGTGGTTGTTGGGAGTGGGGGGGGAGGAGTTTCAGTTTCAGTTTGGTTTCAGATTTAGTTCCAGTCAACGTTTCCTC